AATTAAACGTATCATGTTTGGGCTCATTTTAAAGGATTTTTCACGACGATTACAAATATATCAAAATTGAGGTTGACATTTTTAACCGGAAGTTGACCATAACTTCATTAATATTGAAGATAAATATGTCGTGTTTGTACTCATTTTAAAGGATTTTTAATGAGGATTACCAATATGTCAAAATTGAGGTTGATATTTTAAACTTGAAGTTAGTAATTAAAAATATTGTCTTTTTAGGTACGTTTTTGTGAAAAACCTTTAATACATCCGATGATAAAATGGGATTACGCATACAGGGCGGCTAGAAAAGGTCCATGGGAACAACACATGCGGGACAGATGTCGGTTTGAAAATCGCGTGTCGAAACTTGCCGAAGTGATTTCTCCCGTTTTAAACGCGACTCACAGGACAAATGTGTATAACGAAAGATTTCGGGATCAAAATCGTTCCGATACAAAGTGACAAATCGCTATAAATATGTAGATAAATGTAAAAAAAAGGGAAATTATTAATATTTGAACGGCGAACATCTGTGATATTTCGGAGAGAAAATTTGAAAAAGTAAATCTCATCGGTTATTTTTGTAAAAATGTTAATATAAAAGATTCAAAAGTAGAAGTAGATTGGAGGAAATTATTATTTTAAGGTTTTTAAGTTTTTTTCTTTTAGGTTATAAGAAAAAAAAAAGGAGGAAAAAAACGATTTGTATAATAGATGTATCATAATTTCGATTGTGTAGAATAAAAATGTAAATATTAATTGATTCGTTTCATTTCTTAATTATTAATTTGAATAAAATTAATTTAAATAATCAAATTAGTAGAACGCCATCTATTAGAGAATGATAAAAACGAGATTGTTTCGTTCTTCCACCGATAGATGTCGTTAAAAGGCAAATATTTAAATTTAAAAATAAAAATATTTAATTATAATTAACACAATCAACTACTTAATTATTTTTCTTTATTTAATATTAACTCTATCTCTCTCGGGAGCACACGCACACACGTTTGGATCATTAAAAATCAATGGCGTCGTAAATAAAACGCAACAGTCCAAACACAAACGATACTTAACGATTTAATAATAATTCAAACTAACGATCTCTTAACGTTATAAAAAAAATGAAATTAAATAGCACATTGTGTGTACGATTTTTTCTTTAAACTTGTATTATTAAGAAGTTTTGATAAAAAAAAATGAAAATTTTAAGAAAATTGAAGAAAAAAACAAATAAAAAGGTAATAAAGATGGAATTAAAGTGAGTTTTAAAAGACAATAAAGTCGTTTGTGAGTTTGTTCGGAGACGACGTGGAAAATAATAATAATAATAATAAAAAAAAAGGAGTGGTAAAAGATGTGATGATGATGATGATGATGATGGAGAAGACGAACTACAACCCCGACGATAATAATAATAAAGGTGTGAAAACCGCGATCGTGGCTCGAATCAATCAAAATTGTTTAAAAAGAATACGAGAAGGGAAACGGCGCACTTTGCCATTGTTGAGGTTTTAACGCGAGAGATGTGTAACAAAAGATAAGGAAAAAAATATAAAAAAAATAACAGTTAGGGAAAAACTGTATTCTATGTATAGATATGATTGTGATATTGAGGACAGATGGTTTTTATTGCTGTTATAAAAATCTCTTAATACGCTTAAATATAATCGGCTTAATAATTTTTAGATCTTATTGAGAATGAAAAAGCTAAAATTACCTATATAATATCAGAAAATGTTTGAAGAAAGCCTATGAAAGGATAGATACTGTTGTTAATACGGTAGAAAATGGTTCCTGAACACTAAATACTATTGGCAGAACTGTAAAAATGTTTGCAGAAGATAAATATAGTTGGCAGAATACTAATAGTGGTTGTAGAACTATAAATACTATTGGCAGAAGAATAAGAACTCCTAGCAAACTATTACCAATAGACTAGACTAACTCCTTGCGGAAGACAGATACTGCCTATACAATACTAAAAAATGTTTGCAGAAGATAGATGTTGTCCATAGAAGGTTAGTTATTGTTACCAATAGATTAAAAATTGGTTGCAGAATACTAATATTGCTTGTAGAAGACTAAACATTGCTGGCAGAAGACTAAAAAGTTCTTGCGGAAGATAAATACTACCAATACAATACTAAAAAATGCTTGCAGAAGATAGATATTGTCTATAGAAGGTTAGTTATTGCTACCAATAGACTAAAAATTGGTTGCAGAACACTAATATTGCTTGTAGAAGACTGAATATTGTTGGTAGAAGACTAAAAACTCCTTACAGAAGACAAATAGTACCTATATAATACTAAAAAATGCTTGCAGAAGATAGATATTGTCTATAGAAGGTTAGTTATTGCTACCAATAGACTAAAAATTGGTTGCAGAATACTAATATTGCTTGCAGAAGACTAAATGTTGCTGGCAGAAGACTAAATACTGCTGGCAGAAGACTAAAAAGTCCTTGCGGAAAACAAATACTACCAATACGATTCTAAGAAATGCTTGCAGAAAATAGATATTGTCTATACAAGGTTAGTTATTGCTACCAATAGACTAGAAATTGGTTGCAGAATATTAATATTGCTTGTAGAAGACTAAATATTGCTGGCAGAAGACTAAACACTGCTGGCAGAAGACTAAAAAGTCCTTGCGGAAGACAAATACTACCTATACAATACTAAAAATGTTTGCAGAAGATAGATATTGTCTATAGAACGTTAATTATTGCTACCAATAGACTAAAAATTGGTTGCAGAATACTAATATTGCTTGTAGAAGACTAAATATTGTTGGCAGAAGACTAAATACTGCAGGCAAAAGACTAAAAAGTCCTTGCGGAAGATAAATACTACCTATACAATACTAAAAAATGATTGCAGAAGATAGATATTGTCTATAGAACGTTAGTTATTGCTACCAATAGACTAAAAATTAGTTGCAGAATACTAATATTGCTTGTAGAAGACTAAATATTGCTGGCAGAAGACTAAAAACTCCTTACAGAAGACAAATAGTACCTACATAATATTAAAAAATGCTTGCAGAAGATAGATATTGTTTATAGAAGGTTAGTCATTGCTACCAATAGACTAAAAATTGGTTGCAGAATACTAATATTGCTTGTAGCAGACTAAACATTGTTAACAGAAGACTAAAAAGTCCTTGCGGAGGACAAATACTACCGATACAATACTAAAAAATGCTTGCAGAAGATAGATATTGTCTATAGAAGGATAGTTATTGCTACCAATAGACTAAAAATTGGTTGCAGAATATTTATATTGCTTGTAGAAGACTAAATATTGCTGGCAGAAGACTAAAAACTCCTTACAGAAGACAAACAGTACCTATATAATACTAAAAAATGCTTGCAGAAGATAGATATTACCTATAAAAGGTTAGTTATTGCTACCAATAGACTAGAAATTGGTTGCAGAATACTAATATTGCTGGTAGAAGACTAAACATTCTTTGTGGAAGACAAATACCACCTACACAATACTAAAAAATGCTTGCAGAAGATAAATATTGTCTATAGATGGTTAGTTATTGCTACCAACAGACTAGAAAATGATTGCAGAATACCATTACTGCTTGTAGAAAACTAAATACTGCCGGCAGAAGACTAAAAACTCCTTGCGGAAGACAAATACTACCTATACAATATTAAAAAATGCTCCCAGAAGATAGATATTGCCTATAGAAGGTTACTTATTGCTACCAATAAATCAGCAATTGGTTGCAGAATACTAATATTGCTTGTAGAAGACCTAATACTGCCAGCTGAACACTAAAAAGTCCTTGCGAAAGACAAATACTACCTATACATTACTTAAAAATGCTTGCAAAAGATAGATATTGTTTACAGAAGGTTAATTATTGCTACTAAGAGACTAGAAATTGGTTGCAGAATACTAATATTGCTTGTAGATGACTAAATACTGCTGACAGAAGACTCAAATTCTTTATGGAAGACAAATACTATCTATACAATACTAAAAAATGCTTGTAGAAGATAAATATTGTCTATAGACGGTTAGTTTTTGCTACCAACAGACTAGAAAATGATTGTAGAATACCATTACTGCTTGTAAAAAACTAAATACTGCTGGCAGAAGACTAAAAGCTCCTTGCAGAAAACATACATTATCTATATAATATTAAAAAATGCTTGCAGAAGATAGATATTACCTATAGAAGGTTAGTTATTGCTAGTTATTGTTAGTTAGCTAGTTATTGCTAGTTATTGTAGAAGACTAAATATTACTAGAAGAAGACTAAATACTGCTGGCAGAAGACTAAATATTCTTTGTGGAAGACAAATACTACCTACATAATACTAAAAAATGCTTGCATAAGATAAATATTGTCTATAGACGGTTAGTTATTGCCACCAACAAACTAGAAAATGATTGCAGAATACCATTACTGCTTGTAGAAGAATAAATACTGCCAGCAGAAGACTAAAAACTCCTTGCGGAAGACAAATACTACCTATACAATACTAAAAAATGCTTACAGAAGATAAATATTGTCTACAGACGGTTAGTTACTGTTACCAACAGACTAGAAAATGATTGCAGAATACCATTACTACTTGTAGAAGATTAAATACTGCCGGTGGAAGACTAAAAACTCCTTGCAGAAAACAAATACTATCTATATAATACTAAAGAATGCTTGCAGAAGATAGATATTGCCTATAGAAGGTTAGTTATTACTACCAATAAACTAGCAATTGGTTGCAGAATACTAATATTGCTTGTAGAAGACCAAATACTGCCAGCAAAACACTAGAAACTCCTTACGGAAGACAAATACTACCTATGCAATACTAAAAAATTCTTGCAGAAGATAGATATTGTCTATAGAAGGTTAATTGTTGCTACCAATAGACTAAAAATTGGTTACAGAATACTAATATTGCTTTTAGAAGAGTAAATACTGCTGACCGAAGACTAAAAACTCCTTACGGAAGACAAATACTACCTATACAATGGTAAAAACTGATTGCAGAAGACAGATATTGTCAATAGAAGGCTAGGTACTGCTACCAATAGATTACAAATTGGTTGTAGAATACTAATACTGCTTGTAGAAGACTAAATATTGCTGGCAGAAGACCAGAAAGTCCTTGCTGAAGACAATTACTACCTATACAATACTAGAAACTGCTTGCAGAATACTAATATTGCTTGTAGAAGACTAAATACTGCTGGTAGAAGACTAAAAATTCCTTGCGGAAGACAAATATTACCTATACAATACTAAAAAATGCTTGCAGAAGATAAATATTGCCTATAGAAGGTTAGTTATTGTTACCAATAAATTAGCAATTGGTTGCAGAATACTAATATTGCTTGTAGGAGACCAAATACAGCTAGCAGAAGACTAAAAACTCCTTACGGAAGACAAATACTACCTATACAATGGTAAAAACTGCTTGCAGAAGACAGATATTGTCAATAGAAGGCTAGGTACTGCTACCAATAGATTACAAATTGGTTGTAGAATACTAATACTGCTTGTAGAAGACTAAATATTGCTGGCAGAAGACCAGAAAGTCCTTGCTGAAGACAATTACTACCTATACAATACTAGAAACTGCTTGCAGAATACTAATATTGCTTGTAGAAGACTAAATACTGCTGGTAGAAGACTAAAAATTCCTTGCGGAAGACAAATATTACCTATACAATACTAAAAAATGCTTGCAGAAGATAAATATTGCCTATAGAAGGTTAGTTATTGTT